GGGTGGGTGGGTTGGTTGGTTGGTTGGTTGGTTGGTTGGTTGGTTGGTTGGTTGGTTGGTTGGTTGGTTGGTTGGTTGGTTGGTTGCGTGCCAACTGGTTCATTTTCCGAGAGGTTGGTTGTGGACAATTCGCGTTCGGAGAGCTCACGGTGTGCGGGAGGAGGGAGGAGGTGTTGACGCACCTGGCGCCCACGCCCAGTCGTCAGTATCTGGGGAATAGCGCACCAGGCGTGGAGCCTGCGGCGTCCTCCCAGAGCGCGGGAGGCCGCCCTTCCCGCGAGTCGGATTGTCCGGCAGCTCCTGATGATGGGGAAACCACACGACACACACACGACATTAATGAGTTAAATGGGGGGTCCCATCCGACGGACGCGTGAGCTCCGCGTGTGCCAGAGCGGTCTGGTTTAAGGGAGAGGGGGGGAGGTGCACCACGAAGTAGCGCTGCTCGTGGCTCTCGCCTTCGCTCGCTCGTCGGTGCGCCTCTGCCCCCTCCATGCCCATCTTCATGCCGGCAGCCGGTGACCATACCCCTCGTCCTCCTGATCCTGCTCCTCCTCCTCCTCCTCCTCGTGATCGTGCGTCCCACCCGCCGGCGCCGCCGCTGCCGATGGGTTCCGATGCCTTGCGCGAGGCATCACGCGCCCTGTCTCCTCCGTTCCGCGGCGGCGGCTCGTCCCGCAGCGATGTGCCCTGCTCGCGCCAATGGGAAGGCTCCGGTGGGAGGGGTTCAGCTCGTCCCGGCGGGGGAGGCCAGTCGGAGGCCTGGCCGCGGGCTCGCGAGGGAGGTCCAACGCTGCCCTTAGCGGGCTGCTGCTGCTGCTCGTGCCCACCATCGCCGGAGTGGCGGCGGCGGCGGTGGTGGTGGTCGCCGGAGGAAGCCGCCGCGGCGGCCGAGAGTGGGGTGGCAGTGCGAGGTAAGTCGTCCCTCGGCGCCCCGGTACCCGCGCGGGAACGCTGCGGCGGCTGCTGCTGGGCGGCGGCAGCGACGGCGGAAGGCGCTTTGCGGGTGCCCCGCCACCAGGCCATCTCCTCGGCGCTGCGCTGCTCCGTCCAATCGGCCGCCGGCGGCAGAAACCCCGACGATGACGATGACGACGACGAGGCAGCAGTGGATGCCGAGGCCGCAGAACGCCGACTGCCGACCCCTGCCTGCTCAGCTGCTGATGGTGGTGCGGGCCAAGCCGATGCCGTCGAGGACGCCGACGATGGTGCCGGCGGTGGCGGTCCTCCTCCTACTCCTCCTCGCTGCCAATCGTTGCGGTGGTGGTCCCGGTGGTGGTCCGGCAACTGATCCGCTGGCCTGCTGCTGCTGGTGGCGGCGGCGGCGGTGGTGCCTCGTCCCCCGGCACCTCCTCCTCCTCCTCCTCCTGCGGGGTGGCGGGGCTCGCGGCTGTTTTCCGTGCTGCGGCCGCCGCTGCCGCCACCGGTGTAGCCGAGATCGCGGAGGCCATGGTCGACCCCGGCATCGTCGTGACGTGCACGGCCACGGAACGAGGCCGAGGCCGAAGCGTAAGAGTCGCCGTGCTGCTGGTGCTGCTGGTGCTGGTGCTGCTGCTGCTGCTCGTTCCAGTCCGGCACATTTCGTGGGCCACCACCGAGGCCCTGTTTCGCCGGCTCGTCGCGGCGCTCCTTCTCCTCGCGCCTGCTGAGCTCCGCAACGCCGGCTTTCTGTCGGTCGTCTTCGGCCCGCCGGCCGGTGGTGGCCCGGGCCGAGGCCTGCCCACCGCGCGCACGAGGCTCCACTGCGGCGGAGGGCGAGGAAGAAGTGCCACGCCACCAGGACAGCTGCTGGGAGGAGCGCTGCTGCTCGCCCCAGTCCGCCGCGGGCGGTAGGGCGCCCCAGGCCGGACTCTCCGCGCTGCGCCCTCCTCCTCCTCCCTTGCCCACCACGGAGGTGCGGTGGTGGGGCCGCTCCCTCGTCGTGGCCGTCTCCGCCACGGAGAACGCGTCCATCATGGCTCGCTCGCTGGTGCCGCCCCTTACACACCCACTGCTGCCCGCGCTCTCTGTTCGCCCCCTCAACCCCACCAAACCAGCCATCACCAGCCATCCTCCTTAGACTCCTCCCTTCCCTTCCTAAGCGCAGAGCAGAGGGGGGGGTGCGCACCTGTTGGGTCCTGGCAATGGGGGAGGGCTTGTAGTGAACGCCCGTTGGCTTGGGCGTGCTCTCTCTTCTCTCAGTTGTTGTGCGCACAGCAGAAGGCAGCAGCCCCCTTCTCACTTGCCCACTTCTGCTTCTGCTTTGGGGGGGGGCAGCCGTTGGGGGCCAGAGAAGCAGCTTTTCCGCAGGTTGAGCAAGCCCGCCATTTTCCTGTTTTGGCCTATTTTGTCGAGAGGGGGTGCCTCCGTGGCGAGGAGGAGGTTCACGCAGCGGCGAAGAAGGAGAAAGACGAGGAAGAAGGACCATCTTATACTTCACGAGCAGAAGGAGGATGAACAATACCCTCGCCACCCGGGTGTTGTTGTTGGGAGCGGCGGTGCTGCTAGTCCTCAACTGGTTCATATTCCGAGAGGTAATGCAGCGGCCAACGGGAAGCGAGGCGGAGGGGGGGAGGGCGGCAATAGCTGCAGAGATGCACAAGAAAGTCGCGGTGGACATCATCGAACTGCAGCTGGAGCGGAAGGAGACGCGCATCCGCCAGCTGGAGCGCGATCTTGATCTGGCCACCCACTCGGGAGCTGGTACCGGAGCAGGGGGGAGAGGGGCACGCGAGCCGCAGGTGCTGAGCGTGGGGTGGGAGTGGAGCGGACGCAAGACACGCAAGGTGACCTTCCACGACGGCAACACTGCCTACGTGTACGCCACCACCTACGACGGCTCCATGGCCTCGCCCGACCAGCCCACAGTGGACTGGTGGGACAAGGTGGACAACCGTTGGTGGGAGATGGACACCTACTTCATCTACAAGACCTTCATCGGACCCCAGAGTTCCTTCATCGATTTCGGCGCCTGGATAGGACCCACCGTCCTCTACGGCGCCACTCTGGTACCCGCGAGCTTCCCCCCGTATCCTCTCCACAGTGCTGTCTGTGTACTGGTCGCGCACAAAGGTTTGCGGTGCGCTGAGCAGCGTTTGGTGGTGGTGGCGGTGGTGGGCACTTGCGCAGGCCAAGGCTGCGTACGCGCTGGAGCCCGACCCATACGCGTTTGACGAGCTGCGAGCCAACGTCGCCCTCAACCCGGAGCTGCAGGCCAAGACCAAGGTGTACTGGCGCTGCATCATGGACAAGCCTGGTATCTACCCGATGGGAGGCGGCGGAGGCGACAGCATGGCCACCGTAGGGCAGGGCACCCACCCCAAGAGCTGGAAGGTACGGAGGGACCCTCTCTCTGGCAGCGCCACCCCCGTCCGTGTCCGTCCAGCGCGCAGTCTCAGCCCACCCCACTCACATTGCGCCCGCGCGGGCTCTCTCCTATCACCACTTTCGCTCTCCGCCAGGTGGACTGCCTCACGCTGCCCCAATTCATCGAGGAACACCGGATCGAGAACCTCGACCTCATCAAGATGGATACCGAGGGGGCCGAGCATATCATCCTGCCCTCCTTCAAGAGCTGGCTCCTGAAGCAAACCGTACGTTGGGCTTGACCTCTTCCCGGCTCACGCCGGCGAATAGCCCACCGTGGTCCCCTCTAAACTGAACGGGCTCTCCTCCCCGTCGGTGCACACGTGCGTGATATACATGGAAATACATATATATATCCATGAATCTATGGCACGTGCAGAAAAAGCCGACGCTGTGGCTCAGCATCCACAAGTGGAACTTCGGCCCAGGAGGCGAGGAGGCCGTGCTGGACGTGCTGCGTCTGTACAGGCGCGTGCTCGAGGGCGACTCACTCACGCTCGACCTCAACACTTACGTGCTCTGCAACTTCTGCACCATCCTTGCCACCGACTCGGACGCGCCCATCTACCGCGGATGAGGAGGAGCACGCCCACGGGCGTGCATAACCCCGCAACGTAGAGCGAAAAAAAGAGAGCTGGCTTTGTGTTCCGTTCTCAAGTCCAAAGCGAACAAAGAGACCGGTGGTCCTTCGCATTCGCCTCAGTTGCCCAGAAGGTCAAAGTCGTCGAGCGCGTCGTTGTACTTCATGACCTTCTCCTTGATCTTGGAGCTGTCGACCCATGTCACATAGTCCTCGAATGCCCTGCGGTGGTTGGGCGAGATGAGCAGCACGGCGACAAGAAGGGGGAAGCACGACTTTAAAAGCTTTACACGGAGGAGGCACCGTACCGGTTGACAAGAAACGCAGGATCGGTCACGACGTCGGGTCCTACGCGAACGTGCCCCTGGTGTGTTGTGTGTGTGTGTGTGTGCATGTCGTGTGATGGGTGTGTGTTACGTCCACGGCATCAAAACTGTTAGTGCTCGCGGTGCAAGTGTCGAGGCGGCTGGGATAAGTGGCGGGAGTCACCTGTTCGATGAACGTCACAGCCTCTTTCAAGTTCTCTGACATCTTCAATCGCACCATGACCACCGGAAGCCGTCGTCTGCACAACAGAACAGAAGAGGAGAGGAGGAGGAGGAGGACGTGAGCGACAGGACTCGCGGGGCCAAGATGGCCCAACCGACCACCTGCAACAACACGAACGGGAGGGAAAGGCGAACCGACAGAAGGAAGAGGCAGAAACTTTGGCGCAGGCGGCAAGAGAGGAGTCGGAGGTGATGAGGCCGAGGTGGAAGCACTTGCGGGTGAGCTGGTCGGATACCTCCCGGCGCACCTCATCGGCAGCATCCATGGCACCCAGCTTAACTACCAGGGACTTGATCTCTCCCGCCAGCTTATTGTATCTGGATTTTTGTGGTTTTTTTGTAAATAGAAATAAAGAGACATCATTAATAATATCTGTAGAGTATTAACGATAGATAATCAATTGAGGCCGATGCTTAAAATTTAGGGGACAGGCGCACAGCATACTTTGTGTAGTCCTCCCGTTTCTGAATGCGGTAGCGCCGGAGTATCTGGATCTCACGCACGTTGTTCTCACGCTTCCAGTCGTAGAGATTGACCTTTTTGAGCAGCTTCTGCTCATGGGGCTTCAGTTGGCGCAGCATCTTCGAAGAGTGTGCGGAAAAGCGGCAAACACCAACTCCCGATCTTTTGCTTTCTTGTTTGTTTCCTTAGCCGGGAAGGAAGAATAAAAAGAAACCAAAAGGAATGTTGTTTTTCTTTCAGGTGTGGAAAAAAAGCTGGCCACGTAACGAGGGAGTTGGCAAACTACCCCCCCCCCGTGTGCCGGTACCAGAACAGAATTTGAGGCAAGGCCCCCTCTCGTACCACCACACGCACAAGGAGGAGGAGGAGGAGGAGGAATTAGACGTGTCAACGTTGGATATGGACATACCCACTGGCGTGCACGCTTCTGCCGCGGCCACCATCCAGCTGGAGGTGCGCTGGCACGGCCAGCCCTACTCTGTGGAGGTGCCCGCGACGGCCACGGTGTCGGAGGTCAAGCAACGGCTGGAGGAACTCACGGGGGTAGCGCCCCACGCGCAGAAGCTCATCGGACTCCTGCCACGAGGCCGCCAGCCGCCTGACCACGTATTCCTCCTTCTCTGCCCACCACCGCCGCCGCTTCCCTGTCCTCCGCCAACATGTGCTTGCTGCTGTTGCTCTTGGCTTCGGTCGTGTGGTTTGTGTGTCTGTACAACGTGCGCGCGCGCAGGCCGCGCTGGGGGAGCTGGGGGTGAAGAGCGGGCAGCGGTGCATGCTCGTGGGCATAGAGGCTGCGCGCGCTGCCCAGCTCGCTTCCGAGGAGGAGGAGCACCGTGCGCGCGCCGCCGCCGAAGCCGGTATGTGCTGCCAACACCAGCTCCCCCATCGCACGCGCGCGCCATGAGCACGAGAACGAGGAAGTCCAAACGATGGAGGTCTGCTCTGACACGTGAAGCGCGCCGCCCAGAGCGCGCCAAAGTGCTGGCGGAGGTCGAGGAGGCGCGGAGGGCCGAGGAGCAGCTCCGGTACGAGGCCGAGGAGGCGCAGAGACGGCAGGAGCGCATCCGACGGCAGGAGCAGAGTGCCATGGTATGTGTGTGTGTTAGTATGTTATGTATGGTGTGTTGTGTGTTGTGTGTTGTGTGTTGTGTGTTGTGTGTGTCAGCTCGCCACCCTCGAATAATTGAGGCCCCTTCCTTACATTACCCCCCCCCCCTTGGACAATAATCCTCCCTCATCGGCGTCGTGTCTTGCGTGTCATTGGTGTCGTGGCACACGCACAGGAGAGGGAGGAGATGCGGCGACAGCAGGAGGAGAACCAGCGCCTGCGAAGAGAGGCCGAGAGCAGCCTCGAGATCGGGAGGCTGCAGTGCTTTTCATCGGCCGTCGGCGGCAATCCCCGCCTGGATCGCGGTGACAAAGGTCCGCAGTCTTTTGAACCGACCACCCCAACCCTCCCCCCCTCCCGATGGTGCACTCACCATCGCTGGCCGCCGCGGCCGTGTCGGTTGTCGTTGTTTCAGTCGTGCTTCCGGCGGCTGTCCTTGAAGAAGCGGGTACGTAACTTGGCTACACACGTAGCCCACCCCAGTACCCCTGTCCACCCCCACCCCCATCACCACCATTCTCAACGCGTGGTGGGTCGTGGTCGCACCGTGATGTGCGTGCGTGCGTGCGTGCGCATATGTCAAGTGCACAAGGGGCTGCCCTTCCCGTACACCTTTCGCGTACGGAAGGTCGACGCAGAATCACCGGCTGATGCCGATGCTTCCCCGATCGCACATTGCGGCGCCCTTGACTTCGAAGCCCCGGCCGGCATGTGCTACCTGCCCGCCTCCGTACGCGCCTCGGCTCCTTTGTTCCACTCGCCTCCTTCCTCTCATCTCTCTGGTGGTGGCTGGTGGCTGGTGGCTGGTGGCTGGTGGCTGGTGGCTGGTGGCTGGTGGCTGGTGGCTGGTGGCTGGTGGCTGGTGGCTGGTGGCTGGTGGCTGGTGGCTGGTGGCTGGTGGCTGGTGGCTGGTGGCTGGTGGCTGGTGGCTGGTGGCGGTTGGGGGGGGGGCACTACAGATCATGGCCAAGCTTGCGCTGCAGGAGGGCGACCACGTGTCTTTGAAATCCGTGCGCCTGCCCAAAGGGGAGTACGCCCAGCTGCAGCCGCAGTCGGCCTCGTGGATCGACATTCCCATGGCCACCCGGGAGGCCATGTACGCGCACCGCCGCCTCCGTCTGCCTTACCTGCCTTCTCCGCTTCCTCCCACGCCATTTGACCCCTCCCCCTCTCTCTCGTGGCGTAGATTGGCCGATCAGCTGCGCAACTATCAGACCCTGACGGTGGGCGATACGGTTCGCCTCTCTCACGGGAGCCAGGATCACCGGTTCCACGTAACCAAAGTCCTGCCGGCACCTTCGCACGAGATGCGAGATGACTCCGCCGACGCGCAACTGGCGGTTCCAGCACCGGACTCCCTGATCGGTGGCCCCTCTGCTGGGATCTCGATCATCGACGCCGATGTGGCTGTCGACGTCATCGAGCCTCGCGAGGCCTACTCCCCCATCGCCCCCGTCACATTGGATGGATCGACCGCTGGCGAGCTGGGCCAGGGCGAAAGCGTGACTTATCGATTGCGTTTGGATCGGCCACTCGATGCCGGCCTTCTGATCGAGGTAGGGTCAGCCGTAACACTTCCCCCCCCCCCTTCATGAAGCCACATCCTTCCACGCCCCTCCACTGGCCACTGATGCCAATCCTCTCTCTCTCGCTCGCTCTCTCGCCCTCCTTCATCCGCATGCAGGTGTCTCCGGTGGGCGTCGGGGACGTCGATTTGTACGTCTCGCACACGCCCGAGAACAGGCGACCAACGCCCTTGGCCTATACCTGGAAGGCGCAAACTCAGGGCGTGCGTACCCCGACACAAGCCCCTCCCTCTCCCTCCCTCCCTCCTCATGGTGAACACGCCTCCACTCACGGGCACGCGGTCCATTACGCTGGCGCTGTGTGTTCTGGTGGTGGCCCCTCCGTCTGAGCAGGCAAAGCGTCTGCACATCGAAGCGGCCGACCCGCAATTGGCGCGAGCAGTGCAGGAGGGCTGGCTCTACATCACCGTGTGCGCCTACGCGACGCCATCCGGTGCATCTGTGAGCTTTTCGCTCGAGTGCAAGCCAGGTGCGTAGCTTTCTATGGAACCCCTGAGAACACTTCACGCGGCTTTCGGGTGCCCGCGGCCCGTACCTGACTGGCGCACACAACACGTTCAGGAGGTGGAGAGGGCCGACAGCTGGTGCTGGAGAGTCCAGACAAGCAGGCCGACGTCGTACAGTGCTCGCACTGGTAGGCAGCACATCCACTATGTCCGCCCCGAGTGCATAGCCCCACCCGCCGTTTTTATCACCTGCTCTGATTTACTCCACGTGTTGTTGTTGTTGTGTGCGTGCGTGCGTGTGCTCGTGTGTGTGTGCGTGCGTGCGGTGTGCGCGCGCGTGTTTTGTTTGTGTCGATCGGCAGCCGGCGGGAGGTGCCGGTGACATCCTATGGCTTGCACGAGATGGCATGCGCGCGATACAGCTGGCGGTGCGAGGAGTGCGGGGCCGTTCTTCCCCTCGCGGAAAAGGACAAGCACCGGGCGGTGGCACACGTGGTGGTACGCGGCCCAGTTTCCCCCATGCATTGCCTTGGGCTGACGTGCGAGAGTCGGTTGGTGGCGAGCCAGGCGGAATGTGCGTGCGGGGTCCGGCTGCCTCCCGAGGCGATGCAGGTGCACCGGGAGTTTGAGTGCCCCAAGCGCATGGTCGGATGTCTTTACTGTTCGCTGGAGGTACCATTCGACCAGCGCGGAGAGCACCAGGGCGTGTGCGGCAACCGAACCGTCACGTGCTCCCTCTGCCACACCCGCCACAAGCGAAACGGTTCCACGCACCCACCCTCTCGCATTGCCCTCCCACACACAGCCAGTGCTAACCACGCATCATCCAACACTGTGCCGTGCCGTGCCGTGCCGTGCCGTGCCGTGCGGCCTTGGCCTTGTCCAGGCATCAAGAAACACCTGGTGGAGGAGCATGGGGTATACCCCCAGCACGCCAACACCGACTACTTTGCGGAGTAGCCAGCCTTCTGTCGCTTGCCTGAGTGGGTTTTTTTTTGTTTTCGAAGAGCACCACATATTTGAAATACCGGATTACGTAAAATTCCGGTGGGGTTAAAAAAAAGAAGAAAGAGAAGAAAGCCAAACAAAACAAAGAAGAACTTCGGGGCGAGAGCACATCCGCATCTAAAGGGGGGAGCCCTCGTCTAGCGTGTTGGCGACTGACTTGCGAATGGCCGCAGCTGCAGCAGTAGCAACTGGAGGAGACTTGTCCACCGCCCTGGGCCGCACGGCGGGGGGTGCCGAGGTGGATGAGGCGAGGAGGCGACTGCGTGGAGCTCTGGAGGAGCAGGAGCGGCTGGAGGTCGCCCTGCGCACCAAGTGCGCACAGCTGTTGTCTCTCATGGCCGCACACGACCCCCACCCCCACCACCAAGCCGTGGCGACCGGTAACCAGCGCCCCCGTGCTTCTTCCTCTTCTACCCCGTCTACTTCTACGTCTACTTCTGTTTCTACTTCGTCCTTGGCCTCCACCCAAGAGCAGCAGGAACGGCTGGCTGCCGAAGTGGAAGCGCTCGAGGAAGAGGAGCGCCGGGCTGCTACGGCCTTCCACGCCGCCCTCCAGGCCTATGCGCACGCGCACCACGCCGCCCTCCACGCCGCCCACCACCACCGGCGCCTCCTCCTTGCCCCCGCCCTCCACCACGAACCCCAGCAACAGACGCACCAGCACCAGCAGCCCGCGCCCCCTTCCCGCACACCTCCGCTTCTCCTTCTCCCGCCCTCCTCCGCGTCCGTCTCCTCCTCCTCCACGTCTCCTCGAGACAGGCACGTCGTAGTAGCTGACCCCTCCGCACGCACGCACGCACGCCGCACGCACCCACCCACCAATTTAGGCCCCTAAACGTGCGTGTTTATTGTGTTCGTGGTGGCGGTGTGGTGCGCGTGGGCCTGGCCGCAGGCAGGAGCCTCCGTCGCTGGCTTCCGCGGCTATCACCACCAAGGGGGCGCTTTTTCGTACCACTCTGCTGGCGCACACCCTCGCTCAGTCGTCGGGAGAGGACTCGGGCCTCTCCCACGACATCCTGACCTGGTACACACCACACACACCACACACACCACACACACCACACACACCACACACACCACACACACCACACACACCACACACACCACACATACCACACACACACCACACACACATCTTTAACCTTGGGGGCATACCTCCGCCGGCGCGCTCCCTCTCCCAAAAGTACCACCGACGCACACTCTCTACTTACGCGCTTGTGGACGCAGGGAGCTGAAGCGAGAAGAAATCAAAACGCTGGACGAAGCCGCCCTCGGCAAGGGCGCCTTTGGTACTGTGAGCAAGGTATCTACCTCGCTCCTTCTCCGCGCGCGCGCGTGTGTGATGCTCCTGTAGCACGTCGTTCGTCGGTGAGCCGGCGCATCAATCGTTGGCTGCTTCGTGAGTGTCACACCCTACCCCTCTCGGAACACGACACACACGACACGACACACGACACACGACACAGGGCATACTGCGAGGAAAGCCGGTAGCGGTGAAAAAGATTCACATAGGACTCCGGCGCGACGGGCAGATAGATGAGCGGACCTCCGAAGTGCTCGAAGACTTCCGGAATGAGTGCGCTGTGATGAGGTTTGGTTCCGCCCCGCTGTTGATCCCCCGGGTCCTCCGGATGAAGCCCTCCTGAGCTTACGCCACGCCTTCTGACTACACAGTAAGCTCCTGCACCCGAACGTGCTTCTGCTCATGGGGGTGTGCATCGACCAAGAGGTCGACGAGCTGCTTATGGTGACGGAGCTCATGGAGAATGGGTCGGTATTCGACATCCTCCACAAGAAAAAACTGAAGCTGCCATTCAAGCAGCGCATGAAGATCGGTACGCTGTCGCTACTCTCTCTCTCTCTCTCCAGAAATACCTGCCGCTCGTGTGCTCCGTGCCGGTGGCTGACAGTGTGGCACACTCACATTCCACCACCAATCCGGGTGCTCTCGTCGCCTCGTATGTGAAATAGCCAAGGACTGTGCCCTCGGCCTGAACTACCTTCACCTCAACAAACCCAACCCGATTCTTCATCTCGACCTGAAGACCGCGAACTTATTGGTGGATGCCAACTTCGTGACGAAGGTGGCCGGTACGTGCGTGGTCATGAAACGGAGATGTGTGCTGCATTTAGTACAGTACTTGCAGTGTCCCCCCCCCAACCAACATTGTCGACCACGCTGACCACCGGTGGGGTTTGGCCCTTGCCTCTGCCTCTTCAGATTTCGGGCTTGCCAAGGTCTACGGACTGAAGGACCGGAAGGGAGTTGGGGGTACCCCCTATTACATGAGGTACACGCATGCACGCCACACACCCAGCACGCACGCACGGCGCGCCCCGGCGTCATGGTGGCACGAGCTAACTCTTTCGGCACACCTGCCAACAGCCCTGAGGTGCTTGACGGAGAGGACTTTGACTCGAAATCAGACGTCTACGCGTTCGCCATCATTCTGTGCGTGGCCCTCTCCCCCCTCCCCCCTACAGCGGCATGCAAGCCACCTCCCTCACCAGCTGCGGCTCACTCGTGCGTGCGTGTGTGGCAGGTGGGAGTTGATCACGCAGAAGATCCCCTACTCCGACGAGAAGCTCCGCTCCGGACCTGCCGGCCTCGCCCAGCTCTACTCGCACGTGGTCGAGGAGAAGAAACGTCTCCAGGCACTTTCTCCCGCCGCTTCATCTTCCACTCCGTTCTGGGCTTCGTTTCAGCGCTGGCGTCCGCGGGCTGAGGCGTGTGTGGGCTCACCTCACTCACGTGACAAAACACGCCCTTCAGATTCCTGGCGATTGCCCGCCCAAGCTGCGCCGCCTCGTCGAACAGTGCTGGGCTCCCGATCCAGCTGCTCGGCCCAGCTTCCAGGACATTCTCGACTCGCGAATATTGGACGAAGGTGCGATAATAGTGCCCCCCCCCCCGCTCCTCCTTTTTCCAACCCGTGCGCCATACGCAAGGGTCTCACCCCTCTTTCTCTCCTCCTCTCCCCCCCCCCCCAATCATGCCTACGGTGGCGCCACCCGTGTGGCGCAGTCGTGCTGGATGAAACCATCAGTGAGGCCAACTCCCTGGCGCGAACGTTCTGGAAGGAGTGCTTCTGCGTCAAGGTTCGTGAGTTTATCCTTGCCTCCTATTTTTATTTTATATATTATTTTTATTAGTGGACGTGCGTGAGACGATGCGCGTTAGTTGGCCGTGGTGCTGCTCACCTCCGTTTCGTTTCGGTGCGTCGTCAGGGCGAGCTGCTCTACGCTGTGGAGTGGAAACAGTTCGCCCGAGTTCTCGCGCAATGGTGCGAGATAGGGGTCGACGTGGAGAAGGATATTTATTGGAAGGCCCTGCGCATGGTCCTCGTGCCAGGTACGCACCCAGCCATTGAACTGGCGCCACCCATGCTCTGGGGAGGGGGGAGGGGGCTGAAGCTCCTGTCCTCACCTCACTGCAGTGAGGTGGTGAGGTGACTGACCAAACTCATGGACCGGCCCTGTGCTTGCCTGCCTCTCTCTCTCTCTCTATGCGCACAGAAAACGAGGACGTCGTGACGCTCGAGAGGTTCAGCGCCATCCTGGAGTGGTTCGGTCCGTTCGCCAAGGGCAAGAAGCTCCTCCAGAACGTGGTTTCCACCATTAAGATCAAGTACATCCTTCAAACGCTTGCCGTTTGGATTTTTTTGAGTGTCAGCAGACTACATGCATGGAGGCCTCACCTCCATGAATCCGCTTCCTTCCTTCGTGCTGCAGGGGATTCTATGGCGATGCCACGTCAGACCAGATGGGCATTGTGTTCGCCGGCAAATCTGTCGGTACGCGCTGCATGGAGAGACCGCGCACTTCGTTCGTTGGCTGACCCCCGCGCGTTCGTGGCACACCAACAACAACAACAGGAACTTATCTAATTCGGTTCAGCGCACAGCACCCGGGCTTCTTCACCATCACCACACTCACCTCGAGAGACAACCTACAGAACTACCGCGTGAGGTGCCGCGCCCATCTATCCCGTGCGCGAAGCCGCGTATGCAGCCTGTGGCGCGCGCGCGGGCACACACACACACATACACACACACTAATAAGGCATGCTCTCGTTACAAACGCGCGCAGCCACGCCCCGGGCAAGGCATATTGGCTCACGGAAGATAAGAGCTTCCCCTCGCTGCGGAAGCTCGTGAAGCACTACAAGGCCGAGCTCAGCCTTAAGGTACCCTTTCGCCCTCGCCCCATCCACACCCGCTCCGGGTGCCCTGAGAGACTGACACACCACTTGCGTGGCCACCACACGACCATCAGACCCCGTTCACGGGTTCCAAGTACAGCCAGCTGCTGGTGCAGATCGAGGAGGGAGAGCGGGTCAACCTCTACTCCAACTTCTCCACGACCACCGCTGCCAGCGCGGCGACCACACCGGTGCCCCTCAAGAAGGAGAAAAAGGAGAAAAAGGAGAAGAAAGGAGCGGGCGCCAAGAAGAAGCACCCACCCAGACACGCAGCGGCCGTGCCGAGCGACGGCGGCTACGCGCAGCCCCACCTCTAAAGAAGAGTACACTCGCCAGCAGCAGAAAGGCACCGCCAACCGTTGGGAAGACAGGCTCCTTTTCGCCCCGAGAATTTCTGGAATGATGGTGATAGCCACGGAGGAAGAAACCAGGAACGGGCGCTCAGGAAGGCGCGCTTCTTTTTTTTTTTTTGTTCGATTCAACAGTCTCAGAAGGCCTCCTGCCCCCCTGTGCGTTCCGACACCGACGACCCCTCATCATGTCGAAGAAGTCCGCCGCCGAAGCACTGGATGAGCACGAGAAAAACATCGAGCAATGGAGGATCAAGAAGCTCATCGCATCGCTGGAGGCGGCGCGTGGTAACGGTACGAGCATGATTTCGCTCATCCTGCCGCCCAAGGATCAGATCTCGCGCGCCACCAAGATGTTGGGCGACGAGTACGGCACGGCGTCGAACATCAAGAGCCGAGTCAATCGGCTGTCGGTGCTGGGAGCCATCACCTCGACCCAGCAGAGGCTGAAGCTATTCTCCAAGGTGCCGGACAACGGGCTGGTGATCTACTGCGGCACCATCATCACCGACGAGGGCAAGGAGAAGAAGGTCAACATCGATCTCATTCCGTTCAAGCCCATCAACACGAGTCTGTACTTGTGTGACAACAAGTTCCACACGGAGCCCCTGCGCGAGCTGCTCGAGTCAGATGCCAAGTTCGGCTTCATCGTGATGGACGGCAGCGGGTCGCTGTTCGCCACGCTGAGCGGCAACACGCGCGATGTGATCCACCGGCTCACGGTCGATCTGCCCAAGAAGCACGGCCGCGGTGGTCAGTCGGCCCTGCGATTCGCGCGTCTGCGTCTGGAGAAGCGACACAACTATCTGCGCAAGGTGGCCGAGCTCGCGACGCAGTTCTTCATCACCAACGACCGCCCCAACATCGCCGGTCTCGTGCTGGCCGGTCTGGCCGATTTCAAGAACGATCTGGCCGCCTCGGACCTGTTCGACCCGCGGCTCAAGGAGATCCTGCTCCAGATCATCGACGTCTCCTACGGCGGCGACAACGGTTTCAACCAGGCCATCGAGCTCGCCGCCGAGGGCCTGCAGAACGTCAAGTTCGTGCAGGAGAAGAAGCTGCTCACCAAGTTCATGGAGCAGCTGGCCCGCGACACCGGCAAGTACTGCATCGGCGTCAAGGAGACCCTCCAGGCCCTCGAGCTGGGCGCCGTCGAGACCCTCATCGTCTACGAGAGCCTCGATCACGTGCGCTACCGCCTCAAGAACCCGCGCGACGGCACCGAGAAGACCATCTACCTCAACAAGGAACAGACCAGCGTCGCCTCCAACTTCAAGGACACCGACGGCGGCGACCTCGAGGTCCTCTCGCAGGAGCCCCTCATCGAGTGGTTCGCCGACCACTACAAGGAGTTTGGCTGCACGCTCGAGTTTATCACCAACAAGTCCCAGGAGGGCTCCCAGTTCGTCAAGGGCTTTGGCGGCGTGGGCGGCATCCTCCGCTACAAGGTGGACTTTGACATCATCGAAGCCGCCGAGGAGGCCGACGCCGAAGACGAAGACGACTTCTACCTCTAGCGGCAGCTTAGCCGCTGCTGCCCCCGTGGCCCGGACACCCGGCGGCGCCGTGCGGCTCCCTCGCCCCACCTCCACCGAGAGGAGAGCTCTCGGCCCTCCAGAGGGGACCCTCCCGTGGTGGTGCCCGGCGGCGGCGACCGGACCGCGCTCGCCTCTTCTCCCCCTCGAGGCGCCGCCTTCCCTGGCCTACCAAGTAGGGCTAACGACAACATCAACCTCCACCTCCACCTCCACCTGTCTCTCTTTGTTTCCCTTCTCGCTGTTCCCTTTCCGTCGCGGCTCCCCGTGACGTACAGTTGTCGTCGTTGGCCCCGCGTTGTGTGCACACCTGAACCCGCCCCCCCCCCTTGCTCCGTACAAATACATTTCCCACTCCCCCACACCGTTTCCTTTGGCCGCGCACCCCCCCACAAAGAACAAAAGAACCCCAGAAATCCCCACAAAGAACAAAAGAACAAAAGAACAAAAGAAATGAAAAGAAACCGAACGTGAAGAAACCGTAACAAACAAAATCCAAGAAGAAAGATTCGTCCGGAGGCAAGGCAGGCGCACACACACACACGAATGTGGGCGCGACTGAGACCACTTCAGCAGCGGCGGCTGCTCTTCACCCGTTCCTCGCCCGGAGGCAGCACTTCTTCCGCCGCCGCCTCCGCGGGCCGGCTCATCTCCTCCTTACCACCACCACCTGCTGCTGCTGGTGGTGGTGGTTCCGTTGTGCCCTCCTCCTCCTCCTCCGCCTCGGCCACTTCTCGCCTTTTTTCTCCACCACCACCGCACCGGCGGCAGCAGCAGCAGCAGCCGCACGCCCCTGTTGCCTCTCGGGAGCTGCGGCCTGCTGCGGCAGTCACGGCGGCAGGGCATCGCCCTCGTGGCCGGCGGTGGCGGTGGCGGAAGCCGGGGCGGAGGTTCGCGAGGAGGCGGCGGCGGAAGAGGAAAAGAAAGGCAGCAGCAGCAGCAGGGGAAGGTGCCGACGGCCACCCGGAGCGGGCAGCTCACCCAACAGCAGCGTCAGGGAGGAGGAGGAGGAGGAGGAGGTGGAGGAGAGTGGCCACCGGCGGCGGCGGCGGCGGCGGGGAGCTCCAGTCACGGACTCGTGGACGCCAAGGCGGACGCCGACCGGTTCTTTGACATCCTCATGCTCCCCTCCCAGTCCCCCATGGTGCGCGCCTCCCTTCTCATCCCCTCTCCCTGGCTGGCTGGCTGGCGGCGGCGGCGGCGCTGCTGCTGGTGCTGCTGCTGGTGGTGGTGGTGGCTGGCGGCTGGCGTGGTAAGGTGGGCGCGCTTTCGTGCTCCTCGGGCGAATGCCGACACACAACCCCATGCCCCCCCCTTTTCTTATCCGTGCCGGTGCCCACTCAACCGTACGTAACGTCGTGTGGCTCGTGCGTGCAATGTTGTGTGTCGTGCGTGTCGTGTCGTGTGGCATGCCCCGGGCTGCTGTCCTCCTGCAGGTCTCGAAGAAGGAAGAGCTCAAGCTGGCCGAGGTCGACGAGGACAAGCTCTTTCGGCGGCACGTGCGGACCGCGAAGCGGTACAACCTCCTGATCCGTGCCCAGGCTGAACGAATGGGTCTCGCCCCCATCGAACGCACTTTCGAGAACATGCTGGTACCGCCCCCGCCCCCCAGCAGCCGCTTGCCACCCACGCGGGCGCGCGTTTCTGGCCGACGCGTCTCATCTCACGATTGGGTGGGGGCGGGGCGGTCTGGCGGAGGACAGCGACACGGCATTGTGCCCAACGTGGAGATCTACACGTCCATGGTGGTGGCCTGCGCCAAGAACAAGGACCCACACGCGGCCGAGCGCTACCTAGCCCGCATGACAGAAGGTCCGCGCTACGCCACCACCACGCCCAGCCACCACCAGCCACCACCAGCCACCAGCCACCAGCCACCATGATCACCATCACCATTACCACCACCACCACCATCACCACCACCATCACCACCATCACCACCACCACCACCACCAGCCACCACCAGCCACCACCAGCCACCACCAGCCACCACCAGCCACCACCAGCCACCACCAGCCACCACCAGCCACCACCAGCCACCACCAGCCACCACCAGCCACCACCAGCCACCACCAGCCACCACCAGCCACCATCACCACCACCACCACCAGCCACCACCAGCCACCACCAGCCACCACCACGACCGCACCAACGTTGGCATGAACCTGACCTCGACGCTCGGAGGCGTATGACAGAGGGGCTGGAGCCGAATATCTGGACCTACACGGCCCTCGCGCAGGCCTACACGCGGGCCGGGCAGCTCCAGGACGCCTTCCAAGTGCTCGAGAGGCTCAAGGAGGCCTCCATCCGCCCCAATGTGGTGCGACTGACTGCCATGCGCCATCCCCCCCTCCCCAATCCCTCCCATCAGAGCAGTCCTTTGTGAACCCCCCCCCAGCGCCACCACCACCAGCAGCAGCACCAGCAGCAGCACCAGCACCAGCAGCTGATCGTCCTCGTTGTTGGCGGGGTCTTGGGCGGGGTCGGGGGCGGGGGAGGGCAGGTAATCTACACGTCTCTCATCCACGGCTGCCTCCTGGCGGACAACGTGGACAGGGCGTGGGACACGTTCGACCACATGCGCCAACGAGAAGCCATCGAGCCCGACGAAGTCACCTTCACGCTCATGATCACTGCCTGCGCTCAGGTAATGCCCGCGTGCATGCACGCATGGCGTCATTTCGCATTGCCCCCCCTTCAAACCCCCTCCTCCCCCCAGCCCGCTCCCCCCTCTTTCCTCCCCCCCCGCGCGGGGGCGGTGCCTCCGTGCAGCACGGCCCCTTCCCTCACCGCTTTTTTGTTTGTTTGTTTGTTTGTTTGTTGTTGTCGCCCGCGTGCGCGCACCCGCACCCCACCCACACCCACACCCACACCCACAGAAAGGGCAGGTGGAAAGGGCGCGCAATGTGATGGAAGAGATGCAGCTCCTGCAGCTGAGCCCGACCGAGGTCACCTACAACGCTCAGATCGGCGCGTGTGCCCAACGGCGCGGTGCTCTTACTCTCCCCCCTTCCTCCCTGCACCACCCACCACCCCTGCTCACGGTCGTCGTGCGGATGGGGGGGGGTTTGACGTCGTGGCCAGACTACTACGCCGAGGCTTTCCTCAATCTCGAGCGGATGAAAGCGGCCGGGTTCAGGCCAGACGAGGTACCCCCCCCCACCCACGGCAAACCACGAAAACGAAACGGAACAACCACCAAGCAAAGCCTAGCCTAGCCTGCCTCCCCTTTATCTCATCCGGCTCCGTTCCCCATATAAATATATATGTACATATTTTTTACACACACGACACACACGACACACACGACACACACGACACACACGACACACACGACACACACGACACACACGACACACACGACACACACGACACACACGACACACACGACACACACGACACACACGACACACACGACACACACGACACACACACGTACGCAGGTTACCTATTCCGCGCTACTCCATGCCAGCTCCAGGAACGGCGACGTCAAGATGGCCGAGATCGTGTTCAAGAGCATGAACGACAGCGGCATGCTTGTGGGTGCGGTCCCCCCCCAATTCCCCCTCCAACTCACTTGAGACTTGATCAAGCTCGTGCCTGGCTCACACTTGGCGGTGGAACGCAACCCAACCGACGTTGTCGTCCAGCCAAACCCGAGGCCACACGCTTCTGGAACTCGTTGCTGTCGGCCTACGCCTCTGCCCAACCTCATGCCGACTCGCTCACCCGCACCACAACCATTGCCACCGCCGCTCGCATCATCCACACCGTACGCCCCCGCCCCGCCACGCCCCGCCCTCCCCGACCCTCCCTGCAGCACCGACTGGTGGAAGGGTGATAGGCGATGCGACGGGGGGTACAACTGCAGCCTCTGCATTATCATATCATCATCATCATCATCATCATCATCATGCTGTTGCTGACGACACTGGTGGATTGATCGGTCATCATACACAGATGAAGCAGATAGGGCAGCAGGCTGATCGCTACACTGCCAACACATTGCTCTCGCTCTACGCGCACGCTCACCGGATCCGTTCGGTGGAGGCCTTGTTCGATGCGGCTTTCCTCCCTCCCCGGCCCCTCTCCGCTGCAAGTGCGGCGCCGGTGGTGGTGGCAAGCCAGGGCGCCGCCACCGCCGTTGTGGACCACAGCGCCGGCCAGTCCCCACCAGGCCCCGTGTCGGACTCGGACGACATGGGGCGCCGTGGTGATGGCGGCGATCTGTGGGCGTTCGGGGAGCGCTTCACGCCTGACGTGGTGACCTACACATGCCTCGTCCAACTCTACGCCGACACGCGGCGCCCGGACAAAGCCCTGCACGCGTGGCAGCTCATGAAGGAATCCGGTGCGCCTCCCTCTCCCACCCGCCGCTCCCGCCCCAAGCCATACTTGGTGCAGGCGGCAGGTGGCCACGGCGCTCAAACCTAGCGCGTGGAGCAGTGCTGACTGCTTCCCTCTTTCTCCTTTTCTCCCCGGCGCCTTTCCCATCATGGGTCGGTCCGAGCAGGGGTCGAGCCCAACATGCGCACCTACGAGTACATGGTGCGCTGCCTTGCCCGCTCCGGCTACCTCAACTCGGCCATGAAGACTCTCCGTGAAATGCGCGGTATGACGCATCATCTCCCCGTGTTCGCTTGCTTCCCTTTTCTGCTCCACGAGTTGGTGACTCATGACCCCCCCGTCGTGCAGAGAAAGGCTTCGTGCCGAGCCACCACGTTGTCACCCTCCTCATGCAGCGTACGCAGGTGCGCGTGCTCTCTCCCCTCGCCAGCAAACTGCTGCGGCCACCTTCCTCCCCTCACGCCCTTTCTTTCAAATGTGTGTGTGTGTGCATGGCGGTATGGTGATGCGTGTTGTGTGTCTATCACATCAGGCTTATCCAGAGCTGAGGGACGAAGTGCGCCGTCTTACTGGCCTCCCTGTGCCTGTCAAGGCACGTCCCAGCGTTCGTCCTGCACCGCACTTTCTTCTTCTATTCCTGACTTGGCCGGTGGAATTGGCAGGTGGACGAAAAGAGCATACTTGCCCTACGGTTGCGACGGGCTGGCCGAAGCGATCACAACCCATTTGCTTCTCCCGGACGTCGCTCACCCCCGCTGCACTATCCGTTGTAGTCTGCCCGACCAGTCCCAGGTCAAAAAGTTGGTGGCTAAATAAATCCGAGGTGTTAAATAAGGCAAGTTCAGGAGTGAAAGGAATAATAAGAAATAATAAGGTTAAAATTTTACAGGATTTTTAGCAGGCGGAGTTTGGCTGGGGATTCGCGGCCATCTGCACTACACGACCAAGCGGACCGTTTCTCGCTTGCCTTGAAAGCTGCAGGCCTCGCGATCGCTCCAAAAGCCCTAAAAAAATACGGGCTTCATGATGGGATAGGATTCAGCCCTGCACGACAGCTCGTTGGGCCAACGAATAACGAACAAGAGGACCCTTTTCTAGCTTGCCTTGCCAGCTAGCGGCCTGAAAATAGGTATCCATACCAGTTAGACCACGGGCTACAAGATGCCGCACGATTAAGGGCTCTGCAGAGTGCTTCGCCTAACACCTAGCCGATGAAAATCGGTCCACCAGGCAAAGCGGAGGATCATCTTTCTCGCTTGCCTTGGGGGATGCAACGAAAACGCGTAACACTCGTTAAACGCGTTTAACTAGTTTAACTAGTAAAACACTGATTAAACTCGTTTAACGACCTGCCCACTCGTCGAACGTGTGGGCCACTTGTGAAACGAGTGGAGAATGTGTGAAACGAGTAGAGAACGCGTGAAACGAGTAGCAAACGCGTGAAACCAGTAGAGAACGTGTGAAACGAGTAAAAACCGCGTGGAACGAGTAAAACCCGCGTGGAACGAGTAAAAAATGCGTAAATAACGAGTAAAACGAGTAAATAATGAGTTAAAGGAGTAAAAAAACGAGTAAAATGACCACAAACCACCTGTGGCAACACTGATTAAACGCTTTAAACTAGTTAAACGCGTTTAACGAGTGTTACTCGTTTTCGTTGCATCCCCTTGATAGCTAGCGGCCTGAAAACAAATATCCAGACCAATTAGACCACGGGCTACAAGACGGCACACGATTCAAGTCTCTACAGCGCGCTGTTTACCTGACAAATCGTGATCGCGTAAAATCACTTCCTAAAATAAAGAGGATCATTTTTCTCGCTTGCCTGGATAGCTTGCGGCCTGAAAAGACCAATTAGACCACGGGCTATGGAGTGTAGATGTAACGAAAACGAGTAGAACTAGTTTAACTCGAAGCACTAGTTTACTTCGTAGAATTATTTGTCTACTCGTGGCCACTCGTCTGTGCCGTCCGTGGAGCTTTCAAAGCAAGTGAGTTTTCCTGAATCTATCATTGGAAAGGGAGATGAGTGTTGTCCGCAGATGTCGCGGACAACCGTGGACATCGCGGATGCCATGACTACAGCTAGGTTTATTCAAGTTCTAGCTGTGCGTGCAGAAACTGAGGGGATGCAACGAAAACACGTAACACGAGTAGCCCACGAGCCCAAATTGAATCCGATCAAACTCCCTAGCTCTGCATGCTTGAGGGGATGCAACTATAACGCGTTGAACGTTCATGATACTCGTAAAACGCGTAGTCCCTAGCATGAGGTGGTCAAACTCCCAACCGCGCGAAAGTTGGGCGAAAATTCGGCTGTTTGGCCTCCCTTAGTGTATTTTACTTGAACGCAGTCGTCTCTCTTGTTTTCTTCTTATGCACGCAGCACAGCACACTGCACCCAACAATCGATTGAAGCAAGAGAGCTCCATGCTACAGTAAGTGCGCCCCCTGCTCCACCAATGCCTCTCACCAGCATTGTGTTGGGGCAAGGGTACTTATACTTATTATTCAATTTTGTCTTTGAGTTGTTCTTTTCTTCTACTCTTCAATAAACGAGTGCTCGAGCCTCCGCACCTCGTCCATGTCCCGGTCCTCGTCTTCAAATTAGTAGTAGACCTCTCTCTCCACTTCGTGCATGGTGGCCTCCCACTCGTGCCAACACCCACGCCGTTCTAATAGTATGTGCACTCTACGCGCGCTGTACATGTTGTCACATGAGTTTTACCTGTGGTCCATAGAACGCGTTTCAATTGTATTTCATGCATTCTTCATGTACTTCGAACTCATACTGCATACGTGCCAGATTTTGCATGCTACGCGTTTTATGGAGGAGATGAGTCGCCGACCGTTACCGTTGAATCCCCTGAGGCTGGCGAAGGTGCCTGTCGCAGTTCTAGTCAAGGGGTCTTCATTTGTGAGCAGATCAGGACTGTACGACTAGCCGTTGTGGTTTCCCATCTTCGCCACTCACTCGAGTTGAACGAGTGTCGTGAGTTTTCGTTGCATCCCCCATGCAAGCAGAAAACCGTAAGCTGGGCTACGATGTTGATGTTGTGCGACGGACAGCGCACGATTTCGGTGTCAATGGACAACGTTCATGCCCACGTGAACTTTCCCAACGAGTCATCCCACAGGGCTGAATCCTAACATTTTTGAAGCCCGTATTATTTTAGGGCTTTTGGAGCGATCGCGAGGCCTGCAGCTTTCAAGGCAAGCGAGAAAACCGGTCCTCTTGTTCGGGTGTGGTCGTGTAATGCCCGATTTATTGGACGAACGAGCAGTCGTACATGGCTGAGTACTGTCACATCATGAAGCCCGTATTTTTTTAGGTCTGTTGAAGCGATCGCGAGGCCTGCAGCTTTCAAGGCAAGCGAGAAAGCGGGTCGTCTTGGTCGTGTGGTGAAGAAGTCTGAGAATCCTAAGTCCAACTCCGCCTGCGAAAAAATTCCTGTAAAATTAAAGACTACCTTTTATTATAAGTATTTTCTTCTGCGCAGGGCATAAAGGTGCCGTGGTGTATGTACAGGGCCATTTGAGCCTACCAGGAAGGCAACAAAACAAATTGGGAGGGGAAGGCAAATGCATGCCCAGGAGAGGAGCGGCCGACCCCGCGCACGCGAAGGGCATGAGAAATAATAAATAAAGGAAAGAAGAGACGCGCGCAGAAGCGGGCGCCCACGATCGATCCTTTGCAAGGCCCACTGACCCGGTGTGTCCGCAGATCGCATGCTGAGAAGCAGTGGCCGAGGCGTGCTGGCGTAGGACAGGTTGCGGCGACGCTCACTGGAGCACGCAGCAGCCGGACGCCGGTGATGTCTCCGATTCTACGCCGAGGGCTTTCTTGTGGGCGACGACTCTCCGCACGAGCTCGCTGAACACCTCGTCCACATTCTCTCTCGTCTTGGCGCTGGTTTCGAAGAAAGGACAGCCGAGCTTCTTCGACAGCTCCTGGCCCTCTTCCGTCGTCACTTGTCGCTGGTCCTCGAGGTCTCGCTTGCTGCCAACCAGTATCATGGGCACTTCCTCCTTGCCCTTGACTGACACGATGTGGTCGTAGAATCGCGTCACGGACCGGAACGTGTCCTTCATCGTGATGGCGTACACCACCAGGAATCCTTCACCCAGCCCGTAGTAGTTATCCCTCATCTGTCCCACGCACGCGGTGGTCGCCCTTGGTAAGAGTCCTCGTCCTGTCCTTCTCAGTCCTCAGAGGAGGAGGAAGAGGTGTACGTATTCCTCCTGGCCAGCTGTATCCAAGATATCGATCTGGACCTTCTGTCCATCTACCTCGAATATTTTCCTAGGGCACAGTAATCACAACAAAAAAATGTAAATTATAATAATAAATTGAACGTTCAATTTATAATTCTGCTGGGGCGGGGAGCTACGCACTGGGAGGATTTGATTTGGATTTGTATAGCGAACCGCGTAGGGGCATATGAATAGGGAAGGAGCGGCGAATCAATGGCTAGACATGAGGAATACGGGATTTGGGAGGGGGGGCAACTTACCCGGTAAGAGTCCGCGGTTGTAGGGTCGTACTCCTTTACGAACGAGTTGTACATGAACATCTGGGTCAGCGCACTTTTGCCCGCCCCACCGCCACCTACTACTATGACCCTGTGGCCCTGTATCTTTGTGCCTTTGGCTGCCATCTATCTAGATTTTTAAACGATTTGCTGTCGACATGCGTAGGCGCAAAGAGGCCGGCGCGAAGGAATTCCTCCATCCCAAAAAAAGTGGTTTTTTTGTAATCGTGGTGGAGATTCGCCTCTCGGCGGGGGGGGGGTACGGAACACATGACTACTGCGTAGCCCTTGGCGTGACAAGGACGTGAATGCCATCAATAGGGCAGATGGGAATCTTGTAGGGGTGCTTATCACCCGAGGTCTTGGCGCAGGCCTCGAACCGGAACTTTTGCACCAGGCGGCTCAGCACGATCTTGGACTCGAGGAGGGCGAAATGTTGGCCAAGACACGCCCTAGGCCCGTTGATGAACCCTTGGGATGAGGAGGAGGGCAGCAAGAGAAAGGGAGAGAGTCAACACACGAGGGGCAAAGTATTATGGCGGGAAGGGGAGGTGCACCTAGCCAAGCATAAGCGTGGGGCGGGGAGGTCTCAAACCGCTCCGGGCGGAAAGCGGTGGGCTGTGGCCAGAGCTCTGCATTCTGGTGGATGGCGATGATCGGCACGATCACTCTCGTGCCCGCAGGGATCTGATACCTCCCGATGACGTCGTCCTCCACCGCCTGGCGGGGAGTTATACATGAAAATGAGAGACTCTGCAACCGCGGGGCGGAATGGTCGGCACAAGGACAACAGCGTGGCCGGTGGTGTACCTGTCTTGTGACCACAGGGACGATGGCGTACTTGCGAAGGGCTTCCTTGAGGGCGTTCGCCGAGTAGCTCAGATCCTTGAAGGCAGCATAATCCGGGCCTGCCGACTCCACCTCGGGCACGAACACAGTATTGGCTTCTCCGAGGACACGCTCCATGCAGCGGTCGTTTTGTGTAAGCTCGTACAGAGTCCAGGTCTACGCGCGGCAGGCAAAGTCAGACAGAGTCGTCTTCAAGGTGTGTGGGGAGGGAATCGGTGATGGCATGCGGCAGCGCACGGCAAAGCAGTCCTCTTGAGAAGTCTTGGGCGTACGTACCAACATCATGCTCGAAGTTTCATGGCCTGCGAGTCGCCCACGCCCACGCCCACGCCCACGCCCACGCCCACGCCCACGCCCACGCCCACGCCACATGGCGGTGTGGAGGAGAGTGAGAGTCAGAGAGCGAGTGAAGGGCGGACATGCGTGCGGCGCGGATTGCGGGGTAAGCCTGACCAGCAAAGAGGAAGGTTTTGATCTCGTCGCGAAGTTGTCTAATCACCTCGTCCGTGAAGGGGGATTCGCCCGCGGATGCGTCGTCGGCGTCAGCTGCCTGCTGCACACCGAGCAAAATGCGATCCAGCACGTCGACGTTGCGTCCTTCACAGGGGTCCCTGCCCTGCGCCCGAGCCTACAGAAAGTTGACGCGCCGAAGGAGGGTGGCCCCCGTGAGCTCTTCCGATCTCACGCATGTCTACACTAATGATACACACGACACACGGACACACCACACATGCTGGTGCTGGTGCTGCTTGACCCGTTGCCCCCTCCTTGGTGGGCGGGCGTACCTCATCGAAAGCATGCGCGCGCCTCCGAATGACGTCGGTGACGAAGGCGTTCAGCTCATTGATGCAGCGGTAGTAGGCGCGCCAACTCTCGGTGGGGAAGAGCGCCCGCCAGGGGTACCACGTGCGGGCGTTGGCCTCCTCGACGATGGGCAGATAGAGCTGCGGGAACACGCGGTCCGACTCTTCCGGCGACATGGACAGTACGGCCTGACCGATCACCTGCATCCCACAACCAACCACCGCATCATTGATCGGAGATCATCACGAAAAATTAACCCCCCCCCTGCTGCGATAGTAGCATGCCCTTCCCCTACCTGAAGCGTAAGTAGCCTGAACTCTTCACCCATTTCGACGACGACGGCTTGTCCACCGTTTTTGGCGACGAGTCCTTCCAGTTTCTCCACAAGTCGTTGCGTGGCCTCCAGGGCAATGGTCGCCGCCTGGTGGAGTCATGACGTAACAAAGGGCGGAGTGTCGCACGATTGTGATCAGTCGCTGACTGTCGTCCGACGTTGCCTCTCATGCTCGCACAAACACACGTGCTGTGGTGTGTGGTGTGTGTGTCGTGTCGTGTGTGTGCGTGTGTTTTGTGGTGGGGCACCAACCTCAGCCAAGATTTCCACTCGGAAAGCCGCCCCAATTAAACTGCGCTGACGCCGCCACAGGTCACCTTCAGCAGTCACCAGCCTGCTCGCCCACCCTCAAACGTACAGCGCCATGTCCGTGCCGTGAGTGCCGCGCCTCCAGTGGCCGTGGTGGTAGCAGGAGGGGGAAGAGAGGAAAGGGGGGGGGCAGTAAAGAGTGACCACGTGCGGGCACGAGGGTATGTCGGCCGTGCCAACAGTTGAGGTCCGCGCTAGGGGGAAAATCGAGGGAGGGGAGAGCGCTCACCCGGTGCCGAGCAATGGGAGGAAAGGCGAGTAGGAGCTGCGGTCCTTGCGGTAGTTCTTGAGGTTGGTGGCAAACACATGCCGCACCAAGTCGGGGTCGGCCACCACGATGTAGTTCTGGAGGCGCGTTAATGGCGGGGAAAAGCAAAGGGAGGGGGGGGAGGGTCCGCACCAGGTTGAAGAAATTGAAGCGGACGACAGAGCCGTACGTGCGCACCCACTCAGTCATTACGTGCCACGGCGTGCCACTGACCATGTCCTACACGAAGGGGCATTCGCCGTTAAAACAAACATGATGGGACCCGCTACGCGACAAGCGAGCCGGTGCACTTGACGTCACGGCATTGATGTGGTTGGGGGGAGAGAGAGATCGGTACGATAACATGGCCAAAGATGGGGATACGCGAAGTAGTGCGAGGCACGGGGATGTTGCCCAAACGCCTGGATGCCCGCACGCTGGCAGCGGCTGCCGCAATAAAAAAAGCTGCCACAAGCAGAACCGGTACCAGCACAATCGATGGGAGGCCGGAGGGCCAAGAGCCGCCCTCCGTCGGGAGAGCTTGGGTCGTGGGCACCATCGATGTACACTTTTTCGCGGTGGTAATGGCGGGCAGCCCGACACGGAGGTTTGGCCTTCTCGGAGTTGGTCAATTTTTTATTACCTGCACCTCCCCTTTTCGCCCACTGGGCAGGCCGCCCGAAAAAAACACTACATTTCCTGTCCAGACCGGCCTCCTTCCCTCGACAACTTGGCTATCACAGACCGCACCAGAAAGCAGCTCACGCCTCAGGTGAACCCCGCAGTTTGTTTTAAATGGTGTACGTTTCGGAAAAATTTGAGCGTGTTTACCGGACAAAAACTCGAATTCGCCCGCCCGGTTATTTCCCTTCAGCATGAGCCAAAAATTTCGCAAACACCAAATTGCGTTCTGTCTCCACCACCATTTAAAAAAAACTGCGGGATGGCCCCTTAAAATCCAAACATTTCTTCTTCTTGCGGAGGAAAATAAAATGAAAATACCAGCAACGAAAAATCGATCCAAAAGAGATGGTGAGAGAGGGCCTCCGCCTTGTCGGTGCTGGCGCCGCTCTGGCAACAGCAGTCTTGCTTGCTGTTGTGCTTGCTGGAAGTGGCGGTTGGCCGGTTCCTCTGCCTAAATGGTTGGGGAGTACTAGTTCCCCTGCAGCCTTTGCATCAACCACCAAAGACCACGCCAGCGGAGGAGGCGAGGGATGGGAATGGCGAGAGGTGTGGTTCGGCAACGGTGCCAGCGTGGCTTTCGCCATCCGCCCTGGGCACGGCCCTCCTGTCCTCCTTCTGCACGGTACATCGCCACCCAAGAAGTCACCTTTCACGCGTGGTGGGTGCCTGGCGTATCTCTCATGATGGAGGGAACACACACACCACACACACACACACACACGCGACACCTCGTTGACTGTTTGTCTATGGCGGCTGGTGGCGGCTGGTGGGAATGGAGCCAGGGCGTCCAGGAGGGGCAGAGCAGGGGCGTGTGTTTGCGGACGAGCTGTTCCCGCCCGTGCGGAAGCGGCTTGTGGAGCAGCCGCCGCCATCGCCGCTGGTGTTGCCGGAGGGCAAACTGCCGCCCTACACCTTCATCGCCGTGAGTCGCCCCGCCTCCGCACTCCACAATGACGACCGTTCCCTCACGCCGGAGGAGCAGGAGGCCGATCTCTACTCGCTTCTTCTCGACGAGCTGGACATCTCCAGAGTCGCGGTGTGCCTTCACCCTCACACGGGCATGTGGAGCTCGCGCGCCCGCTGATGCTGTGTGTCGTGTGTCGTGTGTCGTGTCGTGTTGTGTGCTGGTCCCGCGGGGCAGGTGATGTCTTTGCCCGGGGCGCATTCCGCTGCATCCGCTTTTGCGGAGAGGCACGGGGACAAGTGCTGGGCGGTGGTGCAGGTGGCCGCAGATGCCCGCGGATTCGACAACTGCCTGACCTCCTCCCTCGACGCCCTATGCGCCTGGACCCCGCCCTTCCTCCGGCAACTCGTCGCCCGCTCCACCGCCTTCGTCGTTTCTCACCTCGCCGTACCCACGCCCACGCCCACGCCCACGCCCACGCCCACGCCCACGCCCACGCCCACGCCCACGCCCACGCCCACGCCCACGCCCACGCCCACGCCCACGCCCACGCCCACGCCCACGCCCACGCCCACGCCCACGCCCAACCATGCGCGGCCAGCACTTGCCCGACCCACCTGACGCCCGTCCTCGTCGTATATAAAATGCGTGGATGCGTGGGTGCATGTATGCGGTGTGCCCTCTCCAGCAGTACGACCGGGTGGCGGAACTCTTGCCCTGTCTGTCGGTCACCGGAAGCGACCGCGCCACAGTACGTGCCACCATACATGTTCCGTCGCCGCCCTCCTCCTTCTGGCAGCTGCGCCCCCCCCCCCAAAGCTTTGACGGTCTGCCAGCGCTGCCCCATTGGGCCTCGCCTCGCCTTGCGCACGTGCGCGCACTCAACGAACTCGTGGCCGTGGTGGCCGTGGTGGTGGTGGCTGGTGGACGTTCCCACGCCCAGTAAGAGCGCTAACACGCAACCTCCCCCCCCCGTCGTGTTTCTCATCATCAGCGGCTTCTGCAAGCGCGGCTGGTGGGCACGACAGTGCCATGTGCCAGCAGTCCCCTCTCCACACCCACGCATGCCTCTGCCGCCACAGTGTCCGCCTCGGGCGCAGCCATCCCCTGGTTGCAGGTACGGCCGCCACTCCTACAACTGCTGCCGCCGCCGCCGCCGCCGCCCTCACGGTGGTGGGCTGATGATGGTCTCTGTCAACCCGACACCCAACCCGACCCCCGGCACCCAACCAACGTCAGGTGGTGGGCTCGGGCGAGACCGAAGGGGACCCGGCACGCACCGGCACGCTGACCGAGAAGAGCTACCGGGTGGTGGCTACAGTGCCGGGGCTCGTCGGTGGAAGGCTGGCCTTCGCCCCACGCCAGCTGGGTCCTTTGCTGGAGCAGTTTTTGGAGAAGGCCACCCAGTTCCTGGTCTGGTGACGATGCTGATGGTGGCGGCGGTGGCGATGATGATGATGGGGCCAGCAGCCCGCACTGTGACAGACGACAACGCCCCCAGAGAAACAAAAAAAAAAAAAAAAAAAAAAAAACAAGGAAAATGCCGGCCCAAGAGAACGGGGGCTGCCTTTTCTTCTTTCTTCCGGCGGCACCGCATCTGCACCCTTCTTCTTTCCTTGCAAGGCCACTACCATGCCCCTCCTCCTCAAGTACAGCGTGGCCACCCTCCTCGTTTGCCTTGCCTGCGCCTTCCTGTGTGCGTTCTGGCCCCAACCCGCCCTACAACGTCGACGTCATCATCAACTTTTTTTTTCGCTCACGAGGGTGGGCGGCCACAGGCGTGTCGGCGCAGGGGACCATTCTGGAGGTGTTGCGCAACCAGACCCGATTCAGCGACCTGGCCAGCTCCGTTGATGCCTCCGCGCTCGGTACCTCGTCCTTGCCGCTTGTGATGTTGGCTTGGGAGACCTTGCCTCGCCTCGCCTATTCCATTTCTATTTCCCCCCCCCTCTCCACCCACTTGACTTTTTGTGTGTGTTGGGGGGGGGGCACAGTGCGGGCTCGCCTGGGCAATGGGTCTGTGGACAGCACGGTCTTTGGCCCCGTCGACCACAAAGCCCCCTTCAACTTGACCGAGCCTCTCCTCACCTATCACCTCGTGGACGGACGCGTGCGCCTCCTCCTCCTCCCCTCACTCGCTTGGTGCTTGCGCGGCCATGTGACAGCCACGCTGCTGCTGCTGCTGCTGCTGCTGCTGCTGCTGCTGCTGTGCTCAACTATTCTTGTTATTGATGGCCGTGGTGGTGGTGGCTGGTGGTGGTGGCTGGTGGTGGTGGTGGTGGGGGGTAACGTTCGCACGGAGCACAGTACCTCGCGGCTAACTTGAGTGACGGGGAGCTCCTGCCCAGTCTCCTCAGGCTGTCGAGCTTGAGCAACCAGCCCCAGCAGCTCAAGGTCTCCATTGACGGCAACGGCACCGGCACGTTCCCTCCCACATTTCTCCCACCCGACCTTCCCTCCCCTCCCCCCCTTTCCTTTCCTCGCCTTACGGCGGCGGCGGCGCCGCGCCTCTTCTTTCTCTTCTCTTCCTTGTTCCTTGCTCCCCGCGCAGTGTCCATCAACGGAGTGCGAGTGCAGCAGGCGGACATTGCGGCCTCCAATGGCGCCATCCACGCCCTGGAGTCGGTGCTGCCCCTGCCCGGCTCTCTCGCTAAGGCCCTCGACGCGTTCCCCACCCTCAAGTCCCTCGTCGCTGCCGCCAACCTCACCCTCCCGTACCTCTCCTCCTCCTCCTCCTCGTACTCCTGCCTGGCGTCGCCGCTCGCCGTTCCTTGACCCCTCCCCTCCTCCTCCCCGTCGTGTGTGCGTGTCGTGTGTCGTGTGTGTGTGTGACGTGCGTGGCCCTTTTTCTTTCTTCCTCGTCTCCCTCCTCCTCATCCCCGGTGGTGCAGGGCTGCTTCGTCGACCGTGTTTGCGCCCACCGAGGCGGCATTCGCCAGCCTGAAGCGCCAGAATCCCGCCCTCCTCGGCTACCTCACCTCCGCCGCCAATGGGTCCCAGGCCGATCTCGCGTACGCTCCGCCTCTTCTCTCTCTCCCTCTCTCTCCCCCTCTCCAGCTCGCTGGCGTGGGTGCCTAATCGACCTGCTGACCCTTTGGTCGCGGACCCTCTCCCCGATCCCCTCATCATGGGCCGATCCGCATTTCTCGGAGGATCCATGTTTGGCCCGTGTGTGTCGTGTGTGTCGTGTGTGTCGTGTGTGTCGTGTGTGTCGTGTGTGTCGTGTGTGTCGTGTGTGTCGTGTGTGTCGTGTGTGTGTGGTAAATATGGCAGCACGGTGCTCAAGTACCACGTGCTGGGCGAGGTGCTCTACGCCCAGGACATCGCGCTGGGCTCGCAGCAGGCCAACACCCTGGCCGATCAGTCGGTGACCATCACCAAGGTACGCCCGCCCTCCCTCCCTCCCTCCTTGTCGTTCGCCTGCGTCGTGTCCCCCCCAAACCCCAACCATATATATATATATACATACATATTTTTATATATAGAAATATGAAAATGTCCGATCACATGATTGGGTGTGCTGCTCAAGGCGCGTCTCTCCACCGGTTTGTGTAGGCGGTGGTGAACAACTCCGTGGAGGTTACCTTGAACAGCAGCTCGACGTCTGCCCGCGTCGAAGCCGTCAACACCCTGGCCTCCGATGGAGTGCTGCATTCCATCAACTCCGTAAGCACACCCCCAACCCTCTCTCTTGGTCCCGCTCTCGCTCTCGGACTCCTGACGTGGAAGTGGATCTCTCTCTCTTGCTCGCTCTCTCCCCCACTCTGCCACGGCCGTGGGCTGGTGGCTGGTGGGTGGTGGCTGGTGGCTGGTGGCTGGTGGTTCAGGTTCTTGTCCCCAACGGGTTCGTGTTCAGCCTGAGGAAGATCCTCGTCGGACTCAACGACACCACGCTGCTTCGTCTGCTGGACCAGGCCAACCTCACCAGCTGCTTGACCGGTATCACCATCTGCTCGCTCGCTCCTGCGGCCCTCGCTTTCTCAGTTAACTGGCGTGATCCCACGGGTTTGTTTGTTTGTTGTTGGGGGGGGGACGTCATCACAGAGGACTGCGGGTACACCATTTTTGCCCCGAGCCAGGAGGCCTGGGAGAAGGCCGACGAGAGCGACTACGGCAGGACCACCGCGAGGCTGGCCAGCGTCTTGAAGTCCCACATCTACCCGGCTCCGCTCCCGGCTCTCTCGCAGGTGCGCCTCCTTCTCCCCACCTCATGCCACCCCTGGAATTCCACCCGGCACCTGCCCACACACACACACACTCAACTGGTGATCGATCACTTCCCATCCAGAACATGACCCTGACCATGCTGAGCAACAAGACCGTGCACATCGTCAACAACACCCTCACCCTCGAGGGCGATGCCCGCTTGGGCTCGGCCCATCTGCTGGGCTCCGTCACCGCTGGTTCCAACGGCTACGCCTACGCTATCGACCAAGTCCTGGGCGTCGCTCTGGCCTCTGACGGTACGAACCTCTTTTGCTATCTCCCCCCCATCCGCTTCTGGGTTGACGCCACGACGACCACCACGCGCGTTGGTTGTGCCCTCGCCAGACTCTCTGAGCAAGGCGACGATTGGTTGGATCATCGTGGGCGGTATGGGCGGCATTCTCTTGCTCGCTGCCGTGGTCGTGGCCGTCGTGTGGTACGTGAAGCGCAGGCGTGCCGAGTACGAGGTCATCAACGGATCCGTGTAGTAGGCCCGCTCCGCGCCTCCGCCAAGCAAGTGCTCTTGACCCCAAACAAAATGCTTTTTGTTTTCGCCGGCTATCTATCTCTATCTACATTAATGGCGGCGGCGGCAGGTTGGTTCGAAACGAGCTCATTCGAGGAGCATGGGGGTGACGTCGGGCGTGGCGACCCATTCGCGAAGGGTGCCGTCCCAGGAAGTCGTCACGATTCGGGGTTGGTGCGGGTGCCACGCCACATCCCGCACCACACGTTTCTGATTGAGGCCTTGATCAGTGAAGCAACCCAAACCACCCCAACCTGGCCAGGGAGGGGGCGTACATGGGCCTGCAGGCGAGCAACGGGCTCGGCAGAGAGGAGGTCGTAGATGACGGCTGCCCCGTCGTGCGAGCCCGAGATGATGTACCGCTGGCCCGTGCCCGCCGCGGGAGAGAAGTAGCACCGCACCAGCGTTTGGAATACCTGGGCCATCATCGCTCCACACAGTAAGCAAGCCGCCACTCAAGCCGACCGAGCCAAGCAAGATCTTGAGGGGAATGGAGAGAGGGGGGGGTTGCCTTGTGTGCACCGCGGTAGGTGTTGATGGAGCAATCGTTGGCGTGCACGAGCTTGCCCTCAAAGATCTTGCGCTGGGTGGGCGAGACGTACTGATCCCCATACCGATAGTCGAACGTAGCCGACCGCTCCTGTCCGCGGCTCTCCTGCCGCATGCTCCGCAGGTCCCACAGCTGGGCACCGGATGATCACCGGTGGATCACGCGCACGATGAGTTTGAGATCTCTCCAACCCGCGACAGCTGCAGCCCCCCCTTGCGGAGGAGGAGGAGGGGAAAGGGGGGGGGCGGTGTGGGGGTACAGCTGCTACCTTGATGGATTGGTCCTTGGAGTTGGTGATGAGGTAGCGCCCATCGCGCTTGGACGAGACGTGGGTGATCCCCTCCAGGTGACCCACCAGCACTCCGACGGGCTTACCGCCCTTGAGCGCCCGCCGGTCCCACACCTTGCACAAGCAGTCTGCGCCCGCCCGCCGTGTCATGCTCATGAGCAGCCAGCCATTGGATCACCGCTGTGCAAAAATTTGTCTTTCCCCGCGCAGCAGTCGAGGGAGGGGCCACGCAAGGGGAGGAGGGGAGGGCGCACCATCGCTCGCGGAGAAAAGGATGTGGGAGGTCTCATCGGCCCAGCTCACACTGTTGATGTCGTCGCTGTGGGCGTCGATGCACAGCGTGCGTTCCCTGGTGTGACGCACGCACCAGCCACACGACCACCAGCCACCACCAGCCACCAGCCACCACGACGGCGGAGGCCAACAAATGGAGCGTACACAGTGAGCGCTTCCCTTCCCCCCCCCAAATACCCGCGCTGGGTGGTGGGCGGTGCGGTGGTAGGTGGGCGGTAGGTAGGTGGGTTATTCTGTAACTGGCGCGGGTGCGTACCGTCGGTGCAGGTCGTAGATGTAGAGCGACTGATCGGAGGAGCCGGCGAGGACTTCGGAGCCGTCGTGCGAGTACTGCAGCGAGAACACGCAGAAGCGGTGGGCGCGGGGCTTCAGGTCGAGGGCCTCGTGATGCCCATCCTGCGCAGCGTCGTCGGAGATATCCACCAGGTGGACTGCCAGGAATGTGCCGTGAGTGCGGTGAGTGTATCACGTGTAGCAGGAGGCGCGGGTAAGCATCGCCCCCACCCCACTCGCGAGTGGGGAGGGAAGGTGGGAGGGAGGCGCACTGAAGTCGCTCCAGGAGGAGTAGAGGAGGTGGCGGCGGTCGGGCGAGATGTCCGTGTCGAGGATGCTCCAGCCGACATCGCGCGCGCCCACGTCCCGCAGCAGCCGAAAGGAGGGGCCGGCGGCATCGTAGATCCGGATGTGCCTGCCACCGCCAGCCACCACCACCAGCCACCACCACCACCACCAGCCGCCGCGAGGGACATTGGGGGGAGCGTCAGCTGGCTGGCGCCATAGAAAGAGGGAGAACGAGGCGGCGGTACCTGTCCTGGCACGCCGACACAAACACGTCGCCATCCTCGCTAAACCGCCCACTGCACTCCCGACCGCGCCCCAGAGCACCGATTGATGTTAGCACCCCGGTCATGGGCGCATGAGTGCCTCCCCCAACAATGCTCACCGAGCGGTGGCGTGGCGTGGGGTGGGGTGGCGTGGGGTGGCGTGTGCCGCGCCGGTACGCCATACGTACCAGAAGAGCTGATTCTCGAAACGTGCGAGGATGCGGGGCTTGGGGCGGTGCAGGTAGCCGCCCTCCGCCACGAGGCCGACCGCCACGGCCGCACGCACTCCTCCGTCCCATCGCCCCTGCAGCTCCCTCTGCGCGTGCGTTGCACCATCGCACCGTGCGCCGACCGCGACCCACACGAGCGCGCCGGCCGGATGTGTGGTGAGCGAAGATTCTTCGCATACAAAAGCTTTAAATAAAAAAACAGAAACAGAAACATGCACGCATACGTATGCTCATGACCTATCGGGAGGAGGAGAGAGAGAAAGACGTACGTCGTGGAGGCGCTGGAAGAGCGTGGGGCGCGAGGCGCGTGTGGCTTCTTCTGCCCCGCCCGCGTGTAGGCGGTGGTGGTGGTCCCTGCGCCTTTGGTGCTCGAGCTGCGCTCCCGCCCCGCTGTGCACCCGTACCTCGTGCCCCACGGCCGTCTCCTGTCGGCGCGCATGCGTGGTCACAGGTCACCCTCCTAGAGTGAGTCACAACGGCCACGTGGCGGCGGCGGCGGCGGCGGTGCGTGGTACCGAGAGTGGGCACGGGGGCCGGGGCTGCCGGTCGGCCGGTACGAGGTCGGGATGCTCCTCGTTCTCCCCTTCCTCCCCTTCCTCCCCTTCCTCCTCCTCCTGCATTTCACTGCGCGAGAGCCAAGGGACCCAACCGATGAGCACCCAGAGATGCCGCCAACCGTGTGCCGTGTGGCGCGGCGTTACCGCGTCGCGTAGTGCCCCCCTCCCCCCTTCTTCCTCATCAACATCATCATCACCAGCCACCGCCACCACCACCGGAGGAGGGCAACAACGACAACCGCGACAACAACCACAACCACTCCCGACCGGAGAGAGCGCGCGCGCACATGCGCGGGAGGAGGAAGGCGTACTTGGCGGCGGCGTAGCGCTGCAGGAGCACAAAGTACCTGTGGCCACATTGGGCGGGGGAGCACAGCAGTTAACACAACGCCCACCCATGTGGGTGGGGCAAAAGAGGGAACCACGACGAGCCACCGCGGGTGGGTGGTGCATTGGGGAAGAGAGGGACACCTCTGCAACCGCTGGAGCTGCAGATTTTTTTAAAAAAAAACAAAACATGATGCACACATGTTGTTTTGTATAATGAGCGGGGGGGGAGCAAGCGCGCACCACAGGCAGCCAAGGAGGTGAGGTGAGAGAGCTGGCAAATGAGACTATAAAGCAAGAGGCGTGGTGGGGTACCGTGCTCAACTGGTCGTCGTCGGCGTCTTCCATGTGTGGCGTTTGGCTTGCTGGCTGGCAGGGAGATGTGTCGGTGGTGGTTAGCTGGAGCTGCTGCTGCTTGCGTGGGGACAACTCGTGCCGAAAACAGGGGCACCGGTGGATGACTAAGCCCCGACGCTGGTAACGCCGCCTTTGCGACAAAAAATCCCACTTGCTTTTTTTGTTCGTTCTCTTTGCGTACACGAGCCTCGTCCCCCGATCGGTCAGGCGGCAAGGCCGTGGAGGGCGGCAAAGGCGTCGGCGGCCCGGGACAGAAGGGGCGCAAAGGTGAGGAGGCCGTCGTAGTCGGGGTCGATCTCGCGCGCATTCTTCTGGACCACGCCCAGCAGGTTCTTCACCCGCTGTCTGTCGGCCCCGCCCTCCCACTCCACCTGCCAAGGACCAGGAGCATAATAAGCAGAGGGGGGGGAGGGAGAAGCAAAGGAGCAAGAGCAGCAGCAAGAGCACACCACGCGGATGGGAGAAGAGGGTGGAGGCGAGAGACGGCGGTGTACCATGGCCAGGCCCAGACGCAAGCAACCTACAGTCTGGAGTTTGAGATTGGCGCTCTTGTTGGGCGAGTGCGGCAGCCGATGGCGCTGGAGAAGAGTGTCCGCGTCGTTGCACGCCCTGTGCACCGCGTGAGCCACCTGGCTTGCCCCACTCCTCACCCCACCACCACCACCACCCATCGCGGGTCAGTTGCCAGCAGGGCGGGGCAGCGCTGGAGACCCATCCGTCCGTCCGTTCACCCACCTCTCCTGCCTGCTGGCGCACCAACACCAAAAAGATAAAAACGGGGAGCATTGGGGGCTAGACGTACGTGGCGTCGGGAGCGACGAGCCAACCGGCGAGGGCGACCTTTGCTTCGAGAAGAAGCTGCTGCAGCCTCTCTTGCACCGCCGCTATTTCTTCACGCGTCGCTGGTTGGCGACCTGCCTGCCCCCCGCCCCCGTGCATAAAGGGGCCTGTACCACCACCACCACCACCACCACGCACACAATGGTCAGGCAGGCAACGCTTGCTGGTGACTGTGGTGCAGCAGCGACGAGGACGTACAATTGGCCAGAGAAGGGGCGACGAGAAGGGCAACCACCACAACCACGAGGACGAGATGCCTCGCTCCATGCATTGTCCAGCTCACATCCTCACCTGCTGACTCAGCTGTGACGTCAGCTCTGAGGAAAGGGGGAAATATCCGAGGAGCACGTCACGGTCCATCCTTCCTGCGAATTTCTCGAGGGGCTGGTGCGGGGAAAGAAGGGAAAGAAGAAGGAAGGAACGAGACGTCGGAAAGCCGCGGCTGAGGTGGGCCAGGTCAGTAATCAAAAGAAATCCGCAACAGACAACAGCAAGAAGATGGCAGTGAGGTCGCAGTTCGAAAACAGCAGCGAGGTCGGCGTGTTTGCCCGCCTCACCAACACCTACTGCCTGGTGGCCTACGGCGGCTCCGACAACTTCCGAGTTTTCGAGGCGGAGCTCCAGGACCACATCCCCGTCGTGCGTGCCTCCATTGCCGGTTGCCGCATCGTTGGTCGCCTTACCGTTGGTACCCCCGCGCCTCCCCACGTGATGGGCCACTCTACAACACGGGAGGTGATGTTAATGGAGGCGAATTTGTGCGAGATTCTGGCTTTTTTAAGTGTAAACTATTTCGTGTCCCCTCGATCCTTTCGTGGAGCGGATGGAGTGCGGTAGTTGGAGAGCAGCTGTGTGGGTGTTGTGTGTGTGTGTGTGTGTGTGAGAATTGATAAAACTAATAAGCTTTGGTTGTGTTTTCCTCCGTCCGTGGGGTGTCCGTTTTACCGCACTGTGCTGGCCACAGGTAACAAGAACGGTCTGCTGCTGCCCAACACGACGACGGACCAGGAGCTCATGCACATAAAGAACTCGCTGCCCGACGAGGTGGTGGTGCAGCGAGTGGAGGAGCGGCTCTCGGCGCTGGGCAACGTGATCGCGTGCAACGACTACGTGGCCCTCGTGCACCCCGACCTGGACCGCGAGACGGAGGAGATCGTGGCGGACGTGCTGGGCGTGGAGGTCTTCCGCCAGACGATTGCGTCGAACGTGCTGGTGGGCACCTACTCGGTGATCACCAACCAGGGCGCCCTCGTGCACCCCAAGACCAGCGTGGAGGACCAGGACGAGCTCTCGTCCCTCCTCCAGGTGCCCCTCGTGGCCGGCACCGTCAACCGCGGTTCGGACGTCATCGGCGCCGGCCTGCTCGCCAACGACTGGACCGCCTTCTGCGGCTTCGACACCACAGCCACCGAGATCTCTGTCATCGAGAAGATCTTCAAGCTCCAGGACAACGCGCCCCAGGCCACCATGGCCGACATGCGAACACAGCTCATCGAGGAGATGTCCTAAAGCCCCCTCTTCCCTCCTCCCTCTCTCTCTTCCCTCCTGTTCTCTCGTTGTTGTTGTTGTTGTTCCTTCCCCTCACATTCCATTCCATCCACACCACCACCACCCCCCGTTATTAATAGACCCCAACCTATCCCCAACCTGTGCCGTTTCCTGCCTCCCCACACGAGTCCCCGTTGGCATCATAAACACCACATGATCGCCGTAGTAGTCGTTTGTTTTCTTCTTCCGGTGAGCTCCATCTCTAGATTCGCCTTTCTCCTCTGCACAGCGGCGGCGCCAGAAGGCTCAGGCGTCGTGCATTTCGTCGGGCAGCCGCGCAAACGGCAGGATGGTCACCTTGTGTGTCGTGTGTGTCGTGTGTCGTGTGTCAGTTGCAGACCCACTGACGCACCACGAGCTCGGCGTGAAGGTCGGAGGTACCTGGTCGCCCTTGGAGTGCAGGGACACGGCGGGGAAGAGGTGGGGCGGGAGGTTGCGGAAGGCTTCGCCCTGGTTCACCCGGTTGATGTAAAACGAAAGCGTGCCCCGCTCCCCTCCCGTGTAGTCCAGGCTGAATGAACCGCGTCGTCGAGTGCAGTGTGAGTGCAAAGAACGACTACACTCGCCGCCACCGCCGCCGCTGGTGGTGTTGGTGGCGCGCTGAGGCGTTTGGGGGGAGGAAGCGGCGTACAGCAGGCCTACAGTGTCGCCCTCGCGAAAGATGCCCCCCTTGCCGTACTCCTCGCACGTGGGCGAATCTGCGGACGGGCACGTTAGAGCGTGACACTCGCGGACGGCATGCTTCACACGCACACCACGCACGCACACACGGAGAGAGAGGGAGAGAGAGGGCGAGGTCGAAGCCACGTACTCCACCGCTTCAGGTTCTCCCGGTTCATGACGATGATGGACCAGCCGTCTTTGGTGGAGCCCACGTAGGTCGACAAGTTGGAGGTCGTGCGGCTCACGCCCACGGCCACACAGTTGGGGTTCTGGACAAGGCCCCACAAACGCACAGAGTGAGCAATACAGCGGACATACCTGGCCCAGCCAGCCAGCCAGCCAGCCAGCCAGCCAGCCAGCCAGCCAGCCAGCCAGCCAGCCAGCCAGCCAGCCAC